TGGCATTTATTTAGCAGATACAGAGCTGGGTTTTCCTTATTGCCCAACCAATATGCCTCTTCTCCTATCTATAAGAACCATCTCTAAGGCCTGGTCCATGAGAAATTTCACCAGTTTCACCAATGCAAATTCCTAATGCAGTTAAACCAATTTACTCTTTGCTAACATACTACATTAAGCAAAACCAATTTAAACAAGGTTTAAGCCAATTTTAACAAGATAGAAACTGGTTTAACTGCATCTACATTAGGGGTTTGAAACAGCGTAACTAGAGTTATTTTAAATTAATGTAATTACAATGGTGCAACTTTTCTAGCCTAGACCAGGCCTAACTGCTGAGGGGCTATGTCATGGGAGACTCCACCTAACACACCTCAGAAGGTAACAATTTTCATTCACTAACGTGATGTGGCTGCTCTCAAGAGAGTGACCTAAGTGTGGAAAGTATCATATGCTATTACCAATCTCCTGGGTCCCTGACAGCTGTTCCATGAGAGATTTCATAGAATATCAGGGTTGGAGGGGACCTCAGGAGGTCATCTAGTCCTACCACCTGCTCAAAGCAGGACCAATCCCCAGTCAGATTTTTACCCCAGTTCCTTAAATGGCCCCCTCAAGGATTGAACTCACAACCCTAGGTTTAGCTGGCCAATGCTCAAACCACTGAGATTTGCTTGCCTTGTGAAATCTTTTGGGTTGGGAAAGAAGAGAGGTAATATTTAATTGTTAGCAGTTCTGACATTGATTAGGCTTGATAGCTTGAATTAAGAAGCAGAGTGATAGGATGCAGTAGAAAGATGTTTTTAGCTGGTAGCCAGACAAGCCTCTCTGCTGGAATGTGCGGAGAGAGAGCTGGATTGCTGAGGGGGTTAATCCTCTAGGGAAGTTAATTTGTATTGCTAGACACTTTATTCTTTTGTTTTTAGTTGGGTGAGAGGAGCCTTGAGTGCTGACTACTTTAGAGCATTGTTGGCTTTGCTTCTTTAATGCAACAAAAGAGCCTTTGTTGTCTGTGGTCATGCCATCTGCTTACACCAGGTTTGGATTTGGCTCATATAAATAAGGGGAGGGGGGAATAATCTCTTCCCCTCTCTCCCGCTCAGAATAAAAATGAATAACGTCAACAAAAAGTAGCAGTTTGTCCAACATTATTCAAATCCTGTACAGAGTACAGCAAAGGAGGTAAAATGCTATTCTTCTGAGTCTACCTCAGGGCTGCTCCAAATGAAGCTTACGGTTGGGGCTGGAAGCCTAGCTTGTGTGTTAGAAGCAAGCTCAGGCAAGCAAGATCACGCTTTCACACAAGTCAGAAGAATATGTACTACCAGAGGCCTCCCCACCCCTACAATCCTGTTGTGTCTGGAGGGAGGAGGAGCCCAGCCAATTACAATGTCCCCCTAGATCCTGCTGTCTCTAGTTAGGAGCGGGGGAGTGAGCCCGTCACAGGCCCTTGAGAGAAATTTGGGGCCTGCCCCACCCCTTCCCATTTCACCTTCATTCCACCCCAGTTACAGATGTCCAGGGGGGCACCCTGAACTTGGGTACAACTGTCCCCCCCTTTCCCCACTTTTCTGTCAGCTGTTTCTAGCTGTCAGGGGGGAAAACATTTCATAAAATGAAAGTTTAGAAATAAATGATTGAAAAGAGTTTTAATATTTCTCAACTCATCACCCCAGGAGTGCTCTACATCGCTCTATAGGTAAATAGTTAACAGATCAGGTGCTAGTAGATAGTGCTCAGGAATACATAGAATTGTCACTGGGTTTTGTAAGACCAAAAAAATTTCTTGTGGCCTACAAATGGCTTCTTATAGCAGTTCTTGACAGCCACTCTTAGCACGCCTAAACATATTCTACTGAAATAATAAGTATTAATAAGAATTGTATTCAGGTAATTAGATTACCAGAAAAAAAACAACAACCATTAAGTAACCCATGTCTAAAGGCTGTAGGCATATTTGATCTGCACAACCCGCCAACCTTAAGCATATTATCACCAGCAACCACACACCACACCATAGTAACTCTAACTCAGGAACCAATCCATGCAACAAACCTCGATGCCAACTCTGCCCACATATCTACACCAGCGACACCATCACAGGACCTAACCAGATCAGCCATAACATTATCGGTTCATTCACCTGCACGTCCACCAATGTAATATATGTCATCATGTGCCAGCAATGCCCCTCTGCTATGTATGTTGGCCAAACTGGACAGTCCCTACGTAAAAGGATAAATGGACACAAGTCAGATATTAGGAATGGCAATATACAAAAACCTGCAGAAGAACACTTCAATCTCCCTGGACACACAATAGCAGATTTAAAGGTAGCCATCCTGCAGCAAAAAAACTTCAGGACCAGAATTCAAAGAGAAACTGCTGAGCTTCAGTTCGTTTGCAAATTTGACACCATCAGATCAGGATTAAACAAAGACTGTGAATGGCTAGCCAGCTACAAAAGCAGTTTCTCCTCCCTTGGTGTTCACACCTCAACTGCTAGAAGAGGGCATCATCCTCCCTGATTGAACTAACCTTGTTATCTCTAGACTGATTCTTGCCTGCATATTTATACCTGCCTCTGGAAATTTCCACCACATGCATCCGACAAAGTGGGCATTCACCCACTTATGCTTATGCTCCAATACGTCTGTTAGTCTATAAGGTGCCAGCGACTCTTTGTCGCTTTTTACAGATACAGACTAATACGGCTCCCCCTCTGATACTCTTACCAGCTTGGCTCCTGAGCTTGCAGTGAGTTCTTTGCTTAAAGATCCCTGCTGACTTCAATGGGGCTCTGAGCAAGAGGGAGGGAATCTGCCTACATAGCGCTCATTGCAGGATCAGGGCCTTAAATAGCAAAACCAAACAGATATTTTTCCTGCTCCTTCCTTGCAGTGTGGTATACAAACAAAACACAATGAAATATAATAAATCCTAAAATTCAGGCAGATAAAAGCAATAGAAAAAGATGAAAGGGGCTGGGGGAAGGTAATAAAAATAGGGCAAAATGTTCAAAAGCTTGGACAATTTTGAACATTTTATCCATCACAACTAATAATGATCACAGGGGAAAACCACCTTTGAAATAGAGCCTTGAAATGTCTCTTCAAAATAGGAAGTGACAGAACAATTTCTACACCCAAAGGCTCACCAAAACCTAAAACATGGCCACCTGAGATATAACAGAGGGATCCCCTATGGCCCAGTCTAAGCAGGAGATTTATACTTGTGTAATGAAAATGTGGGTATATGCCTGGCACTTAAATTTATCCTTGCGTCCACACTGCAGCAGTATAGTAAAGTAATGTTTGTGCATCTTTCCCATAACCTGGGGTACCTTCTGCAACTATACCTAGCCCAAAAGATTACCAGGCCTAAATTTTCAAACGTAACTAGTGATTTGGGGTGTCTTGAATTTTGGATTCTCAAACTGAGACATGATAAAGAGGCCTGATTTTTCAGAGGGCAAGTGATCAACACTCCTCAAGTTGGGCATCCAGAATCACTGGTCATTTAAAAAAAATCGGGTTCCAGTTTTGGTCCTGGCGAATGTGTTGAAATGTGTGTCATCAGAGAATGGCCTTTACAGGTAAGCCATTAGGCTTGATTCTGCCTTCACATCAGGCTTACATTGTCGTAACTTAACATTAACTTCAGTGAGTTGCTCCAGATTTACATTGGTGTAACAGAGAGAAGAAGAAGAAGAAGAAGTTAACCATATGCTCTTCTTTGTGGGTGTGATATATTAGGTCTGTCTTCTGTCAGCCATAATGCGCTGCACTGAATATGATTCCTTCTGAAGTATGTTTAATTTGTGCATTTCTTTACACTGGAATAATTTATATAGATAGCAACCCTTTGGGGCAGGGAACTTATCTTCTGATGTATCTGTAAAATGGCTAGTGTATTTTTGTCACTAAATACAATAACAATAATAAGGTGGGTTGTCCCCTGACAGTATCTTGCAGATCTTGCCTAGCGCTAGAAGGATGGTTTTGTGGCTAAAAAAGACTGGGAATCAGGAGAAATGCATTCTGTTCCCACCTCTGCCACAGACTTCTTGAGTGAACTTGGGCAGTCATTTGTCCTCTGCATCTCAGTTGCCCATTTGTTACATAAAAACCTGGGTTCTGTTCCTGATTGAGCCACGGACCTGCTGTGTGATTTGTTGGATCAAATCACTTCTCCTTTCTGTATCTCTATTTCTCCTCCTCTCCTTTGTATATTTAGGCCATGTCTACACTTAAAAGCTTACAGTGGCACAGCTGTACCGATGCTGCTGTAAGATTGCTTGTATAGCCATGTTATGCTGGTTAAAACCAGCTCAACAAGCAGCGGTAGCTATGTTGGCAGGAGAGTGTCTCCCGCTGATATAAGAACATAAGAACTGCCATACTGGGTCAGACCAAAGGTCCATTTAGCCCAATATCCTGTCTTCCGACAGTGAACAATGCCAGGTGCTTCAGAAGGAATGAACAGAACAGGTAATCATCAATCATAAGCGCTAGTGTAGACGTGGCCTAAGACTGTAGCTCTTTGGTGCCGGGATGGTCTCTTTCTACATATTTCAGAGTAACAGCCGTGTTAGTCTGTATCCGCAAAAAGAAGAACAGGAGTACTTGTGGCACCTTAGAGACTAACAAATTTATTAGAGCATAAGCTTTTTATTAGATGCATATGCATCCGAAGAAGTGGGCTGTAGTCCACGAAAGCTTATGCTCTAATAAATTTGTTAGTCTCTAAGGTGCCACAAGTACTCCTGTTCTTCTTCTTTCTACATATGTATACAGTGCCCAACACAATGGGCCCTGATCTTAGTTGAGGCCTTTGGGCACGGTAAAAAAAGAATGCTTCCTTATGTCACCGGGGTGTTGTGAGACAATTAGTGCATGTAAAAATCCTTCCGATTCCTAGGATGGAAAGTGTTAGAGAAGTAAAAAAAAAAACCAAAAAAAAAGTCCTGTGATGAAGCCAACTTCCTCTAGGACCTAGCGGAAGCCGGAGGGTGGTGGTTTGGTCCCCTGCGCAGCTGATTGACAGACAAGCTGAGCTCTGAACCAGCACGTTAATGAGAACCAGGGAGAAGGCGCTGGAAGGAGATGAAGCGAGAATGGGTCGGGGATGCCTGTAGGGACCTCGGCATGAAGTTCAGATGAAGCTCTTCAGACAGGCGCAGCTGCAGGGGGGCCAGGACCCGGACAAAAGGCAGCGTGCGCTGAACATGAAACCTCTTTCCCTGCATTGCAGCAGCTACCACAATGCCGGGGGCTAAGCCCGGGCTAGAGATCATCCCCACGAGCATCTCCCCAGCAGGACCCACGCTTGGGAAAGTTTAGGCTTTAAGGGGCTTGCTAGGCTGGGGCCCCCTCCCCCAAGGTTTTCCCCTTGCCCCTCCTCAGGCAGGGCGATGGATCTGCCTGGAGGTGAGTTTTAGTCGGTGACTTTGGCTTGTTTTCTCGGTGTCCCCCCCCGGGACTTTCCCTGCCCCGCTCCCAGTGTGCGGGGAGAAAGTTCCTTGTTTCAAAGGATAAATCTCGCTGCTGCTGCTGCAGGAACGTGTCTCTGCCCCCTGCAGACGAGCCCGGGGACGCTTTATTTTCTGGTCTTCTCCAACAAGTGGGCGCCTCTGCCCCACGGACGCTGGGAAACAGGCTCGTCCTCGCCCCCCCTGGCGGGTTGCAATGAGGTAAGGAACGGGGATCGGGGGTTCCCCTGGGGAAGGTGGCGAGGAGCACAGACATGGGGTGTGGGGGGGTGTGGCCGGTATGGGGCTGGGGTGGAAGCACGGAAAAGCGGAAGGCTGGGTGGCCTGGGGTGACATGGGGGCAGTACAGCTATGGGGGGTGTCTCCTTTCCTGGGGAGTGTCAAAGGAAACAGCATGGGGGGGTCGTATGTGGGGGAGTCGGGCTGCACTGTTTGGGGAGGGGGTGTGTGCTTGGGGGCATTAGGAGCCAAATAGCCCAATGGGGGGCAACTGGGGGTTGGGCAGTGGGGGGCACCTATGTGAGGGGGCAGCAGACAAAGGGGGAGTGCGAGTGTTAAGGAAGCAGCACAGACGTGGGGGGAGGGCGCAGGGGGAAGCAGCACAGACGTGGGGGAGGGGGACGCTGCTGTCCTGGGAGGGTGTCTGCTCGGGAAGGGAGGGGAGGCTGGCAGGAGAGAAGCGGCACTGGCGTGGTGGGGAACAGTCAGATTGGGGCTCCTCTCGTTGGGGGGGGGGGAAGGCAGGAGGGGATCAGCACAGCCATGGGGAGGGGGGCCGAGAGGGGCTTCTCCGGGGGTGGGGGGGAAGGGCAGAAGGACAGCAGCACAGCCATGGGGAGGGGAAGGGCAGAAGGAGAGCAGCACAGCTATGGGGGGGGGCTGAAAGGGGACTTCTCCTGGGGGGCGGGGGAGGGCAGAAGGAGAGCAGCACAGCCAGAGGGGTGGGAGGGGATGAACACAGAGATGGGCATGGGGAGGGGGTCTCCTCTCTGATGGTAGGAGCCATTCGGGGTTTATTATCCTGTTTGATTTCACACAGAGGTTGAGATTTTTGGGGGGGGGTGGGGAAGGTGAGGAGATAACCCAGGGAAAGAGGGGAGAGCCCTTGCCTGGTTTCCCATCTCCCCTTGGTGGGAGGGGCAGGCAGAAACCTGTGTGCTTGTACCTCAGAGGAGGGGCACCACAGAGAGCAAACCTGCCCTGGCCCCTGCCCCTGGGATGGGAGAGGAGGTGGTGTGGGCATTCTCACTGCTCTCTTTGGCATACGACCTCTTTTCTAATGTGTCTATTCAGGACTTGGCACAAAGGTGATGAATAAGTGCTAAAGGCAGAGTTAGGGGTGTGAGAGAGCGGTGCTTAGAAAGGACAGGTTTTGTGGGGCCAGGGCGAGGGTCACTGGGCTGACATGTCCAGTCAGTTCAGTTTGATAATACTGCATTGGCATGACAAGCTACACATGTTTTGCAAACTGTAGAAAAGACTGACCTCTGTCAGGACTGGGCTTTATGCTGCTTTAAGGTGTTAATCCCCTGTGTCTAGTCAGACCTAGTTTTAAACCTTTCAAGGATACATGAGAATCCTCTGGGATGGTCAGGACACCAGATTATTGGCAGTACAGCCAGCCAGAGGGATCAGTGGGAGCTACCAGTGCTCTTCACTGCAGAAAATCAAGCCCTTTCTTATAACCAGAATAAAGTGTATGTGGCAAGGTGGCAACGTAGATTCAGCCCCGTGCCCTATAGCAGTGAGAATTGCTGCATTTCCCGTGTTTACTCATAAAGGGACAGGGATTGGTTAGTTTAATATGTCCTGGCCAGGGGAGGGGAAGAGGGTAACTATCCATGCTAAGGATCAGTTAGTGTTGTGTGTCCTGTTCTGTGACCTTGTGCATTTTTGCAGGGCACTAGGGTAGCCTGTTGGTTTCTCAGGGCCATAGTGATGGCTGAAGTTGGTCTCTGGGAGCCCGCTGCAGGCTCATACTACCTTCCTAGAGTGATGTGGAGCCAGTGAGTCAACCCCTGTCTGGGTCCTCTGCCTTTGCTGGGGCCTGTGCTGCGGCCAGCAGGATGGGGAGCAGTGGCTCGGCACTGAAGGTCTGTACTGATCACCGAGGAGGCATCAACTGGCTCAGTCTGAGCCCAGACGGGCAGCACCTGCTGACGGGCAGTGAAGATGGCACTGCACGTCTCTGGAGCACAGCAGATAGCCAGTGCCATGGCCACTTCCAAGGTACAGTATGTGTCCATTTTCTCCAGGCTCTGAGTCCAAGTACAGTTTATTCTAAGGTATGGTACAAACCTGACACAGCATGTTCTATCCTCTCCAGTCTCTGGAGCAGGTTGAGTTGCCAAATATCATGCTTAAGAATCAGTAAGAGTAATATTAACTAGAAGCTCTTTCACCCCAAAGCAAGTTTCAAACGTTACCGCACAGAGGAATCCCTTTGCCTCTGGAGTAGAACACAGCAATTTAACTTCTGCTTCCTTACTGCAGTCCTCAGCTTCTCACCCAAGTGTAGTTGTGGGTTGGTTTGTTTTTTAATTTTCACTTTTATTCAGAACTTCTTGACCTTACAGTTGAGAAACAGACCTCAGTGAACAATGGGATTTTCTTCAGTAGAACAAAACATCCCCATGTGTCTAATGCAAACTTTTAGGCTTTTTCTTCTGAAATTGTTTTTACCTGTTTGAGATTTACATCTTCCTACACAATCCCTAGACTAACCTCAAAATGATTAAAGAATGCAGAAACCCTACAGGAGGGGATTGTGAATTGAAATCTTGAATTTCCAATGGTAAAGCTGCCCTTTAGATAACTTCCTGCATACTCCTTTAGGATTATAATTATTTTTTTAATTCACTCAATAACTGTTGGGTATATTTACAACCAGGTCTACTTACTGCTAGGGTTTGGGGCTCTACCCACACATAATCTCCCTTAAGTATGTTGGTTAGTTTCAATTCTACATGAAATAGTTTATCATATTTAATGGAAAAAAATCATTTGGTGTTGTGAAAGTCACCATACTGACAGCCCTCTACCAACAGAACAAACACCACTGCAAGCTTCCCCCACAACATAACCAAGATGCCTCAACCCTAACCCATCAGTGATGCCTTGTCTACAATGAGGTTTTTGTGAATTATTCACTGTTTCGCTAGTACATGATGATCAGAGCACTATTTACTCCTGGGGGAATTCTGCGACAAAACATTAAAAATTCTGCGCAAAATATTTCAAAATTCTTCATATCTTATTAATCAAAACAACACAATATAATCCAGTTTCAATTATTTTGTTAATTTATTTCAAAATACCTGTCAGCAAGTATATCTGCAACACTATAGACAACAAAAAAGATTCAGGAAATGTTTTTGACAAATAGATTCCTTAATAGGCATATTAATACAGAACTTTGAGTAATAATTCATTTAAACTACAGTAAAGAAACATATTTCTAGAGCCCTGCTTGGATACAAAAATGTGTATCTCCATCTGATCTGTGATCCGCAAAAGTTGTCTGCGGATATCCACGATATCAGCGGATTTGCATGGCTCTACTTGCTGTGGGTGGGCTGAGGCTCTGAGGCATCCTCCTGCTGGAGCCGGGTCATGGAGAGCCACGCGGGCAGCTGTGGGGAGCCATCATGAACCCTCCACCTGCCCTTGGCCGGGCAGGGAGCTTGGGGGGTGGGGACATGGCTGGGGGCTGCTCTCAGTCCCTCCCCTGCACTGCAGGCAGGTGGAGAGTCTGCTGTGGCTCCCCACAGCTCCTCGGCTGGGCTCCAGCTGGCCTGGCAGAGGGAAGGGCGGGTGGGACCTTGGTGGGGGAAGAAGAGGGGCAGAGGAGAGGGGGAGGGGTCCGCCCCTGTGAAGAGTGGATGGGCAAGGCCCCTCCTGGCCCCCTATTCCGGCGCCACTGGTCACTGCTGCATGGTGACCTGTGGAGCTGCTCGGGCCCCCCACCCAGGGCAGGTGGAGGTCTATGACTCCGCGCCAGCTTCCCACAGCTGCCCACTCAGCTCTCCCCGACCCGGCTCTGGCCAGGGGGCAGAGTAGGGCCTCGGAGCCGCAGTCTAGCCATGATCAAAGCCACACAGGCAGCTGTGACGAGCCGCGGATTCGCGGACCACCCACCTGCCCCGGGCAGGGACACAGGCTGGGGGCTGCTCGGGTCCCCCACACCACGAGCAATGAGAGGGTCTACCGTGGTTCCCCACAGCTGCCCACGGGGCTCTTATCATGGACGGACTGCGGCTCCGAGCACCCTCCCACCCCTGGCCGGAGCTGGGTCGGGGAGAGCCATGCTGGTAGCTGTGGGGTGTCTGGGTCCCTCCAGCTGCCCTGGGCAGAGGATCTGGGTGTCAGGGAAACGGGCCGGGGGCTGCTCGGGTCCCCCACCCATGGCAGGTGGAGGGTCCGCCACAGCTGCCAGCGCGGCTCTCCCTGACCCACCTCCGGCCAGTGGGGGACGGGCTCTCGGAGCCGCAGCCTGGCCATGATAAGAGCCAGCTGTTGGGAGTCATGGTGGACCCTCCACCTGCCCTGGGTGGGGGAGCCTGGGCAGCCCCTAGTCCGTGTCCCTGCACCCCAGGTGCCCTGCCCAGGGCAGGTGGAGAGTGCGCACCACAGTTCCTCACAGCTGCCGGCCTGGCTCTTACCATCAGAGCCCTGCGCGGATACTAAATTTGTTTCTGCATCTGAGTGGCTATCTGCAAAAATGGTCCACGGATATAAAGTGGATACCCGCAGATTTGCAGGGCTCTATTTATTTCCCGCACCTCTCAGAAACAGTGCAAAGGTTTGGAGGAGTCGGGGTAACAGAGAAGCTGAAGGAGAGGGAAGTAATTGCTGGAAAGCAGCCTGGGAGTGAACCTGGAGGGTTGGTGGGTGTGGGTGGGAGAAGTGTGGAACAGTTGTTTTTTGGGAGGGGTTGTTAGGGAATTGGGGAGCCTCCCCCATGCAGTCCC